TTTAATCATTCCTAAGATACAACGGTTCAAACTTTAATCTAACAATTGAACAAATTTGCTGTTACACGGTTTGGACAATTTTGCTGTTACAACCAGTATATCTATCTATCTATCTATCTATCTATGCAGATACATTTTTATACATAACAAGTACACTGACCAGAGGAAAAAATCACCCTAACCCAAACGCTCTCCTCATCCTAAACCCAAACCTCCGTTGTTTTTTATTATTTTATTTACTGTCTAGTATTTTTGATGGTAAGGAGAAATTTGTGATTAAACTCGGAATTATTTTCAATATATGTTGTCAATAAAAGAAATATAAGGAAAAGAGAGATTTTTCGTGGTTAGAAATGCAAACTTTATCGATAGAATTGAGTAGTTACAGTTGGTAGCGAATGATAAAACGAAAAGCCTTTTAGAAAACATTTACTTTACTGGAGTTTTTTCGGACTAATATCGGGTTGGAACGAAACTTATAGTTTTTCGATAGATATCGTTTGAAAAACTGAGTTAATTTAACACGTGACTGAAATTTATATATTCATATTCGGAAAGGTGACATTTTAGGACAGTTTTTATGTGATGTGCGTGTGGATTTTGAATTGTAAATATTTTTACGCTAAAATCTCTCATTGGTGATCTTTTATTTCCCGAAATAAATGACAAAAAAACAAATATGGTTCATTTATGGAGATAGTGCCATGGATAAGTGCACTTTTCACTTTTGCTTCGCTAAGATTTATAGTGGGAAATTTCTAAAGTCCCGAGAATGTCCCAGAAGACAAGCAGTCATTGATGATGGCCAAATTGAACCGCTGATTAAAAAAAACAATTCAGGTTATACGACACAGGATATTACAATGAAACATCTCATATCTCATGTAGACATTGTAAAGCGCCAATGTTAACCACTGCCAAAAACGGTCTGCATTTGAAGAATGTGATGGTGTGTAACTGCTGGGATAAGAAGAGCGTTGGATAATACGAGCTCTTTCTGTGGAATCATTCATCAAATTCCGACAAGAATTGTCTCAAACTGGATCGATTAAAAGTAGAAATCGATGACAAGCACCTGCAGTTGGCCCATCGGAAGAGTATCTTCTCACATCACGTGTGACGAGCAGAGCAACGTCAGCGCTTTTTCAGTAGAAAAGCAAGAAAACTAACTCTCATTACCCACTCCACAGCTTTGAACCAATAACGAAGAGGCTAATATCAAGGTACAGCTTTCTCCTTTCAGACGAACCCCTGAACAACAGAGTTCTCTAATCAGCGCCTGTCGCTGCGTTGCAGCCACCTTAACAACGTGGAACACAGGTCCCTCCCAGCCCTAAAGAATTCCTCTCCTCCAGTGATGCCTGGTTCTTCTGACCCTACATCAATCGCCCCCGAACAGCTGTCGGTCGCTATATAGCCACCCTTTAGAAATGACATAGGTCACTGATGATGATCCCAAGTGCCAAATGTTTAAACGTTATTTTTATTTTTAAATTGATACGCATATTTGAGTAGATGCTCTGCTGTTATTTATTTATTAAACAGTATATTTATTTATTTGCATCTACTGGCCTGAACAGTCGAGAAATTTTGTTAGAAAGATATGCGTCCTCCGGCAGGATTCGAACCTGCTTTCCATAGGGGAAAGCGTCATAATATCTGACGTGCCTTACAATATTTCTGCAACGTAGGACCTCCTGATCAAACAAATATTAAGACCAGTATATGAGTAGATATAAATAAATAAATATACTTATATATATATATATATATATATATATATATATATATATATATATATATATATATATATATAGCGCTTAACATTAGAGCGGGTAGAATGGAGACTAATATCCCCATCATTGTTGTTACTATCTCTAAGTTTCGTCCGTTTTGCTTTCAGCTGCTGTTTAGCTGTCCATCCTGTTAAACTTCGGGCAATTTCAAACTGAACCCTTTATTTAATCTATGGGGATAGAGTGCTATCGTTCCGTTGTCCATCTCAAGATATATCGCGGTTTTTATTTAGTATTGCTTATTCATAGCTTGCAATGTTTCCACTGAGGCTATACTTCACTACTAGACCCAGGGATTGAACCCACAATTACTGTATTCCCGAATTCAGGAGCCAACATTTTATTTGTCTCGGTTAGTGTCCTGGAGCAATAACAATAATGTTGAAGACGTTAATTCAACTGTAAATAATCTCCTATTTGTGGTTTTGTTTAATCATTTCACTGTAAGCAAGGCAATAAAGCCACTAAGACGCCAGGTGTTTCTGAGCGTTAGAGAATATGAGAAAAATACTATTAAAGAAACAGAATAATAAAAGAACAAAGATTAAGAAAATAGAGGATAAAATTGACATTGTATTTAAATCTTTGACGGTTAAAGTTGACTGAGATGAAAGAAGTTAAATGTTCGAAAACAAAAAAAAAACAACTTTTATTATAGAACTTACGATTACATCTAACCATTTCAAGTGTAATCTAGTAGGGCGCTTAAATTAATAACGTGATAATACCATAGAGGAATGTCTATCAGAACAATAAAGATGAAAGTATTTATAGGAAGGGCACACAGAAGTCACGTTAAGACAGTGAGAAATGGACTGAAACCGAGATGCCATGTCAAGACGAATGACATTGTAGATTCTTCTTTGGATTTTATCAGAAACCTCAAAATAGATTGCAGGAACATCCGACCAGATGTGGCAGCAATATTCAAAGCAAGGATGAATGGTAGACCTATAATTATGTAAGATAGATTCTGGAGAAAAAAAAACAGACCCAGCAATTCATTCAATCTAGTCATTCCACTTCACGTCAGAAGACAACGTGTCACTCAGCTGGAGATTAGCATCAGTCATGCTGATGAAAGGCATTGAAGGTTTTCTTAGATGATTGATAGAGAGCAGTTTAGTTTAGGAGGCGTTAAAATTAACATGCCATTTCTTGTTCTATTTAACAACAGATTGTAGTTCATTTTTTTAGATTTCCTACAATTTGACCTTATCGATCTGATTAGATTACTATTAAGACAGAAGTAAATAGTTGTGCAGACTGCATAGATACCGGGTTGAAAACAGATTACACCAGGGAAGTCCTTGATAAAAACGAGGAACAACGTAAATCCAAAGATAGAATCATGGGAAAGACCTGCATTTATGCAGAACGATCTAAAGAATAAAATAAGTTTATATTTACTTTATAGCAGAATAATTTCAATAAATTCTTGAACTGTCCAGGACTATACAGAAAACGCAGTGTAACTTGAGGGATGAGTGAATTGATATATGTTTTAATTCTCCGATCTTTTACATGTTATGTGCCTGTGTATTTGTGTGTATGTGTCTTTGTATATATGAATAGCTATCTGAATGTATGTATATACGGGTATGCAGAAATAGATACGTACGACAGACGAGAATAATAATAATAATAATAATAATAATAATAATAATAATAATAATAAGAAGAAGAAGAAGAAGAAGAAGAAGAAGAAAAAGAAGAAGAAGTATAATAATAATATGACGCTTTTGAGGATACTAAATTCAAAAGCAATGTCAAAATATTCAACATCACACCGGCTGCCGTTTGCAACTGCCAGGTTTTATGTGATAAATGAGAAGGAAGCTGGATACAATCCATCCTCTACCCCTAACGAATAAAAGGCCCTCCCTTCTTCACCGATTTCATGACATCGCACCGACACGTCAACACAGTAGAATAGAGGAGTAAACCTCGCTAAGTGCCAAAAGGTACTACTGCCTTTCTCACCCACCTCTCTCTCTATATATCTTCCTTCCTTCCTTCCTTCCTTCCCACCTTCCTTCCTTCCTTCCTTTCTTTCTTTCTTTCTTTCTTTCTTTCTTCCTTCCTTCCTTCCTTCCTTCCTTTCTTTCTTTCTTCCTTCCTTCCTTCCTTCCTTCCTTCCTTCCTTCCTTTCTTTCTTCCTTCCTTTCTTTCTTTCTTTCTTTCTTCCTTTCTTTCTTTCTTTCTTTCTTTCTTTTCCTTCCTTCCTTCCTTCCTTCCTTCCTTCCTTTCTTTCTTTTTTCTTTCTTTCTTTCTTCCTTCCTTCCTTCCTTCCTTCCTTTCTTTTCTTTCTTCCTTCCTTCCTTCCTTCTTCCTTCCTTCCTTCCTTCCTTCCTTCCTTCCTTTCTTTCTTCCTTCCTTTCTTTCTTTCTTTCTTTTCTTCCTTCCTTTCTTTCTTTCTTTCTTTCTTTCTTTCTTCCTTCCTTCCTTTCTTTCTTTCTTTCTTTCTTCCTTCCTTCCTTCCTTCCTTTCTTTCTTCCTTCCTTCCTTCCTTCCTTCCTTCCTTCCTTCCTTCCTTTCTTTCTTTCTTTCTTCCTTCCTTCCTTCCTTTCTTTCTTTCTTTCTTTCTTTCTTCCTTCCTTCCTTTCTTTCTTTCTTTCTTTCTTTCTTCCTTCCTTCCTTTCTTTCTTCCTTCCTTCCTTCCTTTCTTTCTTTCTTTCTTTCTTTCTTTCTTTCTTTCTTTTGGCTGTTGTTTGAAAATTGACTCTTGTTCTTATTCCATGCTACAATGACGACGGTCTGGTGACAGTCTGCCGGAGACGAAATGAAGCACGTCTGTTGCTGGGTCGAAGGCAGTGATCTAGCCGCATTGGTTGAATGATTTAGTTGAAAGACAAACGGAGAGCAAAGTCAAAGAGGCAATATATCGACATATCGGTATATACAAGAGTACATACTTTGATGTAAACCCTATCAGATCTGCACATTATATGATGCTTTTTATATCTAGGCCATTGCTTAATATTCACTTGATAACCAAATTTACACTTCCTAAGACTTTTCCTAAGTCATTTTGTAGATTGAATAGAAATAAATTTTGCGTAGAAATCACTGAGTAAAGCGTTTTTTTAAATTCTGAGAACAATATTTTATTTTAATTTCTGTCTATGTTTCATTCATAATTCTGCTTTACCATTATTGACGTAGTCAAATGGGTGCATATTACCGATAGAAAAATTTCGTAATTTAACGGAACGTTGAAAAGGAGACAAATATGAGAGAAAAAGAAGAGAGTGAATAACTGTAAGAAAGAAAGAAAGAAAGAAAGAAAGAAAGAAAGAAAGAAAGAAAGAAAGTCAAGTAGAAGAGAAAAATAAGTATGAATATGAAATAAATTGTAAAGAAAGAAGAACAAAAATATAAAGAAAATAATGATAATGAATCGCAAGGTAGAATACGAGCGAGTGATATAAATGTACAAGAAAGAAAGAAAGAAAGAAAGAAAGAAAGAAAGAAAGAAAATAAAAGAAAAGAGAGAGAAAGCATGTGTAGAAGGAAGAACGAAAGAAATAAACAAAGACGAGTAGGAGAGAGAAAAGGAAAAGAAATTGAAACAAACTGTTAAAGAAAGGAAAACAAACGGAAAATAAAATTGTAAAGTAACTTTTATTATTTTTCTCATTCGTTAATAATTTGAGCGAGAATTCCGTCATTGTTATTTTCAATTGAACGTTTCAACTGTTTAGTTCTTTCTTCCTTCATCAGTCAAGTGATATTTGCAGTTAACTAAAAGCATCCAAACGAATCTACCACTCGCGGTTCCAACGGCAGCCATTCGTTGGAAATGAATTCGTAATGGCATTCTTTGATTCTTTGCCGATAAAGATCATCACATGTAAATCATATCAAATTGATTAATCACCTCAAAAATTAATTTGTTCTGTAATTCAACGCATAGCATAATATGGCACAAGGCCATAAAAATGAGGGGGGAGAACTCAATGCAGTATAAATGGCCATCAAGATATGACTTCTAGCCATTGGTACATAGTGAAGCATTCAAAAGTACTTATACTGTCTATAGCATGAGTAGCCAAACTGCGGTTTTCTAACCAAATGTGGGTCTTTAATATTTAGCCGGCAGTAAGTGGAAATATGATGGCTGAGCTACTTTTATTCATCTCAGTTAAAATAAAAGGTAAATAAGAAAAAAAAAAGCTTTATAATTATTTACTTGGTATGAATTGAGACCCCATTTAATTTTAATATATATGTAACAAAAATGTATGTGTAAATTTTGTTCATGTCTTGCGGCGCTCAAACATCTGAATTGTATCTTATGTGGATCTTGCATTAAGCAGGTTTGGTCACCCCTGGTCTATAGGTATGCAATTTATTTAATAAGGACAAAGCCACCATATGATTGTGTTGCTCTGTGTGAGGCAAACTCATTGCCCTGAACAGTTTGCTACATAAAGCCCCTCAGCGAGATTCCTTCAACCAAACAACAATATTTGTAAACATTTAACGCAGAAAATAAATTACTTTTCTCTTTCAAAATGGCGTTTGCAGCAAAATATTTAGGATCATAATTAGAGTTTGAAATCAGATGATGTTACTAAAGGTTTAATGACCGGGAATTTTAGTTTTATATATTTTATAATTTTTTTGTCTGAGACCGGTTGTCTAAATGAAACTATTTTAACAATGTCATATCCGTTCAGGATATGGCACTTCACAGATCCCGTTTCTCTTTTATCTGTGAATTGCTACCTAATTTTGGATAAGATAGTGAAGCCATGGTTTTGAATTTAAAGTATATCTTCAAGAAGAGTAACTGCTACGCAAGGCTAAAATGTCCGATCTAAATTGTCAGCTATAGTTTAAACAATTTCCATCGTCAGGTCAAGCCATCAGCTTTTAACATGATTTGATTTGTAAGTTCGATTACGTATTTGTAAACAGGTTCGAAGGTCATTCAATTTTCCTAGTAAAAAAAAACAAGCAAAGAAAGGATAGAAATAAAAATATTCAGTTACGCTCTTTCCACTGAAAATACATCACCTTCTCTGTCTTTTCATCCTGAGATAAATTTGGTCAATACTTCTACTTCTCCGACATAAGCATCCCCACTGTCCTCAAATATGTCAGGGAAAAAAAGAAAATTTCCTTCAAAGACGAAGAAAGAGATTCAGACAACCGATACACTGTGCAGCCAATGAAATGTGGTAAAAAACACGGATAAAATATGTGAGAATCACGGAAATCTTAAGTAAAACAAGAACTACTAAATATTATTGTTCATAATCTGAATAAAACGACTGAAATCTTTTGGCTAGATGAGGAGGAAATAAGACTTAGTGACTTTAACACACAAAAGATACATTGAAGTTAAGAGGCGCAGAGAAAAGCAGCGATTTTGTTAAAATTGAGAAATGGATTGAGGAATAAGCACTGAAACGACAATAATAGGAGTGATAAATAATGTTTTATTGATAGTTTCATTAGACTGGAGGCTGTGTAGAACGTTGTTCGTCCACATTTTCATGTGACGCAACGTATAAAAAGACAGCGATTTAAAGAGGTCACAATTTATAATCAATTTGATATATATTAAATGATTTGAAGATTTTTAATTGTGAAATCAAAGGAAGTATTTTTAATTTTTATTATCGTAACATTAAGGAAAAATGATATTTGTTTGCTATGCTTAAACTGGTTTACGGGCAGATTAACGAGATTTTGAACGAGATTCGTGTGTACGACACTTGCGAATTGAATTGTAATAAAGACTGTTAACAATCATGCTAGAAAAGACGATCAGTATCAAAGATAATGATTACATTTTATTATTTGCTTGAAATTAATATTTTTTTTACTTTCAGGAAATACGCAATCATGATTCTCCACAACTTCCTATTCTGTGAATTACTATACATTCTTAGGAAAGATAGTTGACTGATTTCCTTGGCCTTCTCCACAGTTTAGGATTCTGAGATTATCTTTTTTCGTTTTTAGAATGGTTGTCATTCAAATTTTAAAAAGTTTTTCAGTCTTGTTATTTAACCTTTAGATGGATTCTGGGATAAATAAAGAATAGATTCATGTCTTTCCCAAAGGCTCTTGTGCGAAAATGAATGCAGCAGACTAGCCGAGAATTTGAACTCTGCTTGTCGATTCTACTTTCCGACAAAAATACCAGAATGATATAGTTTTCAAGAGAAAATAAGACCCAACAGAGAAATACAGTAAGTATAAAATAAGACAGAACTTTAAGTTTTAAAGGTAAGCATTGACTTTGTTTAAAGCGCTTAAAATATCTACAAAATATAATTAGACTTAGTGAAAAAATCAATTTTATATTAACATCTACGGAAACTTTATCAAGAAATTTACAATGTATTCTCTTAATAAATCAGTGGAAGATGACTAAAAACTAAAAATATAAATAAAACTGCATAAAACATTAATTATTTTCGGGGCTAGGTAAAAGTATGAAGTATTTATTTTCTAAATTAAGAACAATTTCCTTCCCGCTCTACTCCGTTGCCACTCAAAGAATGGTAATATAAGAATTTAAAATATCGTAATTACGATGAATAACTGCATGTAAATGAAATTAGATAAAAAAAAACATCGCTTTAATATTACGTTTCACTAAAATCACACACTGTTTGTTCGATATATTCAAAAGTTGGCAGTAATTTACCGAATTTTGGGTCTGAAGTTTTCATTGTATAATGTTCTCTCTCTGTGTCCCGTAGATATAATATTGGTATAAATTTATTGACAAATAATGTGATTAATTTGGAGACTTTATTTTAGCATGTATTCCCGGCCTACCTAATCGGGAGAATTTTTCTTTTGCAGCATAATTCTTTTATGGAGTTAAGACTGTTTTACAAAAGAGAAAAAATCATTTTTCTTTCTTGTTAGATGAGAAGTTTGTAAAAAGATTCTAGTAAGAATATAAGTAACACAAAAATGAATTCAGCTGTCCGCAGAATCCGTGAATGGATAAAGAATCTTTTCTAAGACAAACTTGCATTAATTTCAAAAATAGTTTGTTAATGATTCTCTAACTTTTGGATTTTTAATAATTTTTACTTTCAAAATTTTTAATTGTTTTTTAAATATAATTTTTTATTAGGATTTGCTTTGTGTGAATGTGATCATTGAAAATTAGAGTAGGGATCTCTATCTATAAAAGGCAGTATGTGTGTGTGTGTGTGTGTGTGTGTGTGTGTGTGTGTGTGTGTGTGTGTGTGTGTGTAACGAATGCACGGCCGCAATTTTCGCCGGATTTGCACCAAAATTTACATGCACATGCTCCAAGTTAGCGGGAAGGCAAAGGCCGACTTTGCATTTCCCAACTACCATCGATAGTGGAAATAATCGATTTTGTCATGATTCTACGGCAGTTTTCATGTAGTTTACGGCCATTTTGTACTGGCCAGAGTGAGTGCCTATAGCTGGCTGCCACGAATAGGCAGGAAGATTCTATTGGCCAGTGTGACAGCAAACAGCTGCATTCGTCACAAGTGGGAAAAATTTAAATCTGCATGGCACTTTACACCAATTGGCTCATTCGCTTGCTTAAACTCAACGTTGATTCTGATTCCGCAGAACTGGGTTGGATGTGAAAAAGTATTTGTTGTTAAGATTCTTTTTTCATTCGGTTTTTCCAGTTACGAGTCCTTTTTTTAAAGCTGATCGTTTTGTGTCCATTTGGTTTAGTTCGTTTTTCCTAACAGATTTAATGTTTAGTATAGAGCTTCGAAAAAATTCACAGAGTGAGGTAGGCAAGAAGTAAGGCATGTAGCAACATCAGCACGGCTAAGGGCACCCCTTTAAAGGTAAGGAAGGGCAAAAATATTCAAAAGTCAAGTGATAGCGATTGCTGTATGAGTCGTACGATTTTTGAATCAAGCACGGGCAACGCCGGGCCATGCTGCTACTTTTTTAATATGCGAGTTTCTTTCATACTTTCTATCCATTTCCTTTTACATTTTACCTTTCAAAACCTCTTCAATAATAAAATCCAAAATCTTTCAGCTCTCTTATTTCCATTCTCCCACACCTTTTTTCTCTCTTTCATATAATCTCCCTTCTTTTTCTCATCTCTCATACACAGTATTTCTCATACTTCCACTCATTTTTCTTTCTATTCCTACGTCTCATCTCGCTCTTAATCTGTCTATCTTCTTTCTTTTTGTCCCCCAACTCATAATTTCATTCCCTTTCTTATAGTCTCTCTTTCTTACTCTCTGGTTTCTACAAGGAGAAAAGCAGTATATAATCACATATATTTAGACTAAGGCTTTAATGTACACATTTATAAAACAGAAAATGTATAACAAGCTTCCTACACACATAAGGACCAATCTTCTCCTGTCGACAGTTGTCAGTGTTCAGGTCATCGTAAAGGCCAGCATTTCAAATACAGACGCAATTTCCACTCTCCCTATTTCTAACTATGAAGACGATCACCTGGATAAATTATGCTTATTATAAGTTGTTTGGGATGTAATATTTTCAGATTTCAAAATTCCTAAGATCAATTTTACTAATATCTCCATTTCTAGTTTTCTGCCACAACATTTTGGTCAGTATATTAT